TGCGGAGGAAGACCACAATCTGCAGCTATTGCCTGCTCTGGCCTCCAGGCTCCAGGCTCTGAGCTCACGTCGGACAAGTCCCTGTGCTCACCGCGGAGAGGCTCTGGTACCTGTGCTCACCGCGGAGAGGCTCTGGTACCTGTGCTCACCGCGGAGAGGCTCTGGTACCTGTGCTCACCGCGGAGAGGCTCTGGTACCTGTGCTCACCGCGGAGAGGCTCTGGTACCTGTGCTCACCGCGGAGAGGCTCTGTTTAATGCAATCATAAAAGTCAACTTCCATGAAACAATAAAAACATTATACCTGCAAAATATGTATAATTGCAATTTTGACAAACACTAAAATTATGATCATGTGTGGTCATAACTGCAGATGAAAGCCAGATCCAGTCAGGCTGAAGCTAAGGAAGGCAGGGCCTGGTTAGTGCTGTGATGGGAGACCTCTGGGAACAACAGTGGGGCGGCTGTAAAGTGCCAAACTGTGGCTGTGTCCTTAGGCAAGACACTTCCCCCACATCAGAATGAGTCTGGTGTGTGTGTGAATGGTTGGTGGTGGTGGGAGGGGCCGATGGCACAGACTGGTTGCCTCGCTTCTGTCAGTGTGTCCCAGGGCAGCTGTGGCTACAGTAGTAGTTTATCACCACCGTGTTTGGAGAGAAAGAATAATGACATGTGAACTGAGTGTCCAGAAAAGCGCTCTATAAAACCTGACTCATTATTATTATTATTATTATTATTATGATATTGTAGATTTTTTCTAAAGCTGGAAAGGCTAAACTGTAACTGGTGAAACAACTTGTTTAAATCATATAATAAATAATCTAATTAAAGCTGAGTTTCTCTCAAACGGAGCACTCTCTCTCAGCCAATGAGCTCGCAGAGCGTCACATGACCCTCAGGGCTCCTTACTCTGTGTGAAACATTAAACATGTTTTCTAACAGGATAAAGACAGTCGTGTTCTGATTTGTTCACAGATTAATATTAACAACATGTTCAAGTAATCTCCATTAAAACAAATTATGTGTTTTAATGGGGGAAAAATTAGGTTCTCCACCTTTAATTGTGAATGATAATTTAGAAAAAGAAATTGGACCTCATTTTAATATGGTTTATTATTATGTTAAAATAATTTGGACAAATGTTGCCCTAATGACCATATCTTTTGTTCAGTAAACTGAAGGAAACTCCAAAACCAAACGAATTCCAAATAAATGACTTTTCCAAGTTTTCCTACAGGACTTGGAGTGTGTAGTATGTGTGTAGTATGTGTGTAGTGTGTGTGTAGTAAGTGTGTAGTATGTGTGTAGTAAGTGTGTAGTATGTGTGTAGTAAGTGCGTAGTATGTGTGTAGTATGTGTGTAGTATGTGTGTGTGTGTGTGTGTAGTCTGTGTGTAGTATGTGTGTAGTACTGTATGTGTGTAGTAAGTGTGTAGTCTGTGTGTAGTATGTGTGTGTGTGTAGTCTGTGTGTAGTATGTGTGTAGTATGTGTGTAGTAAGTGTGTAGTATGTGTGTAGTATGTGTGTAGTAAGTGTGTAGTATGTGTGTAGTCTGTGTGTAGTAAGTGTGTAGTATGTGTGTAGTCTGTGTGTAGTCTGTGTGTAGTATGTGTGTAGTCTGTGTGTAGTATGTGTGTAGTAAGTGTGTAGTCTGTGTGTAGTATGTGTGTGTGTGTGTGTGTAGTCTGTGTGTAGTATGTGTGTAGTAAGTGTGTAGTATGTGTGTAGTATGTGTGTAGTATGTGTGTAGTAAGTGTGTAGTCTGTGTGTAGTCTGTGTGTAGTAAGTGTGTAGTATGTATAGATAGAAACAGACATAATTTCTATAATCTGATAATTCCTCTGAGATCTAATCCTGATGCATCAGATCACGGTCCACACATCCTCCTCTGCAGCGGATTAAGAGCCACATCTGTCAGAAGTGAAACACAAACATCCTGTGGTCACATCTCGTTTATGTCACAGAGATGGATAGTTTTCTACACAACCTTTACCACAGGATTATCACCACAACAGACACTGATGCAGAGTCTGGACCAGCCACAGCTCAGAACAATCCAACCAGAGAACAATTACATAACAACCACCTCCTTCATTCTCAGAACCACCTGCTCCACCTGCCCTCCCTGCTCCACCTGCTCCACCCGCTCCACCTGCTCCACCTGCCCTCCCTGCCCTCCCTGCCCTCCCTGCCCTCCCTGCTCCACCTGCCCTCCCTGCTCCACCTGCTCCACCCGCTCCACCTGCTCCACCTGCCCCACCTGCCCTCCCTGCTCCACCTGCCCTCCCTGCTCCACCTGCCCTCCCTGCTCCACCTGCTCCACCCACCCGACATGCCCCACATGCTCCACCCGCCCACCCGCTCCACCTGCTCCACCCGCCCCACCTGCTCCACCTGCCCCCCCTGCTCCACCCGCCCCACCTGCTCCACCTGCCCCACCCGCTCCACATGCTCCACCCGCCCAACCCACTCCATCCGCTCCACCTGCTCCACCTGCTCCATCTGCTCCACCTGCTTATTAAACCTTTGTGTCATCAGAAAGTCCCTTGGGAAAACATCTCTTGCTCAGGACGGACCTCAGTTCAACATTTACAAAATACAAAAATAATAACCATTAAAATCAACAACTCAAAATGCATACACAAAATATCCAGAACATTACAGTTAAGCACTCACATATAATGAAATCTCTCGCTTTTGCCTGCTAAAGAAGCCAGTATAAAATCTCTCTCTTTTGCCTGCTAAAGAAGCCAGTATAAAATCTCTCTCTTTTGCCTGCTAAAGAAGCCAGTATAAAATCCCTCGCTTTTTCCTGCTAAAGAAGCCAGTATGAATGTTCTAAATCAGGGGAGTCCGTGTAGCTGGACATTGGAAAATGACTTGTGCATCTCTACTCAGATAAAAACCCAGTCCACACGACCCTTTGTGCAAATTAATTGTTCCAAATCGATAGCCCACCACACGACTAGGTTATCCCCGTCACCCCACTCCCTCCTGCCGTGTGTGTCCGTGCTCACGCTGCCTCCGTGGCCGTGATTTATGACCCAACGACCACAGTCTCACAACACACAAATCCATATCGGCGAAAGGAAGGGGAGGTCCGGTAATGCTCCCAATGATTTACTTTTAGAGGCGCCGCTGTCACTCCGTCACTCTGATGGATCGCCGCGGTCTCCTCTGGCAGTGGGGTGGGTCTGGGGTCTGGTCTGGGGCTGGTGAGGGCCCATAACGGGGGTTAGGGGCTGGAGGCAGGAGATGTGGGTGATATGTCTGGGATTGAGGCGTTTACGTTATCGTTATTGTGTGTTTGTACAGGTTTAGTTCATTTCAATATATTTTTGTATAAGATAAGTAAGGGATAACGTATATTAGCGGGTCTGCTTCGCCCTGAAGGTACTTATTTTCCGATAATGACCTGCGTACTATACGTTATCCCGCTTATTACATGGCTTTATACCAACAGAACACACAACATAAACTTCAGTCCACTTTTAGGAATGCCCAAAGGTTTATTTAATGACAGAAAATAAAATAGTTCCCAAAGGCTTTCCCGTGGCTATGCTAGCAACAGTTAGGCTGGGAACTTCCAAACTAGAACTCTGAACTGAACACAGAATCCTGAACATCAGCGGTGAGTGACCCAAACATAAACTTAACCTAAATCCATAATTCCATCCTCTGCAAATGTTCCAAAAATGTGCCGGTATCTACTTCCGGGTTTTTCGGGATCGCCTTTTCTCGCATTACATCAGTGTTTTTGTCATGAAAACGTTAATGGAAAATTCTGAAAACTTCCGTGCACTTGTATTAATAATGTATATGTATAAAGTATTCTCCGATTAACATTTAAGTGCGTTGATTGATTGGTATTTGCGTTTATTGAGCGTGGCGAGCTCCGGAGTGGCCGGAACTACTTGCAGAGTTATCCACGCATCTGAAAGACAACCAGAGAGTGCGTTGCCAAAGGGCAGCGGTCATTATGGTTTTGAGAGGTCCGTTATAAAAAATAATGACCGGTAGAACGTTTTGAAATGACATTCAAATGAACGGAGCGTTCTCCTGCTGCTGTGACGAGCGTGTGATAAGATACAATAACAGATATCCCGTCCCACAATGGGGAAATTCCAATGTTGCAACTAAACGCACACACAGGACAGTAAGAGAACACAACACATGCAACCATAGTAAGGTAAAAGTAATAGTGATAATTGTTTGAATCAAGTGGTTTTTCATCTTAATTCTTTATTTTCTCATTCCAAAGGAGACATTTCTTGTATATTTTTAAAAACAAGATCATTTTGCTTTGTCCCGTTGGCAAATCTTGTTTTAAGGCTCAGTCAGAATGGGCTCAGACCAAGACACAATTTGAGCCATTTTGTGCTTATTATTCATATTCTTTGTTGTGTGTGTGTTTTCTTTACTGCGTTTGAACGGTTTGATTCTCTGATCTGTTGTTGGCGAATCGACAGCTTTGTAAAGTCCTGCGAGAAAACTACTGTTGTGATTTAGGGCTATTAAAAAATACATAGATTTGAATTGCATTGAATTGAATTGAATGAATAATATTGACTCATTGACTGCTTCCATTTTTGATGATTTCACTGATTCTCACGACCCACAGAATATTATTTCCTAAGACTATGTGAAATATGAAACCAGATTCTGAAAGACTGGATTGTCTACTTTCATCAGCAAAAATAAGTTTGTTTCTACCTGTTTTAATTGTCCTGTAATCCCCAGTCGAACAGAGGGTCTCAGACAAATATGTCACTGGCAGATTGGCAGGCTGAGAGAGATCCTTTACTGGTTCGACAGTGGGAGAAATGCCAGTGTTGCATCACCGGTTCCAGAGCAGTATGAGCGAGGAGCACACAGCACGAGAAACATGAATAATAACTTTTTACTAAAATCATATAAAATAGACTCAAAGTGAAGAAAAGACTGGGAGCTGCATTATAGAGCTACGACCCAACCAAAGGAACGCACTGAGTCGTGAGTCACCGGCGCTGGTGGAGCTGGCAGCTGAGGAGCTGTAATGAGGACAGCGGTGTCATTACGGTCAAGGACTCGTTACGGTCCCACATTAAAGAAGCTGATCCTCCGTGATGGAGCAAAATCAGCATTGGTTACGATTAACGGGCGTGATATTTGATCAACAAAACAGAATTACATGTTGTCCAGACGTTACTTTGTTCTACTTCTTTGATCCCTGCGGCTTATACAGCGATGCAGCTAATATATGTATTTTTATTGAGGTAGAGTTGTCAGAGCAGAGTTTATGGACTTTTAGTAGCTGCAGGAAACTGGTTCTGTGTCAAAATAGACCAGGGATGATTGAAGATGACCCATTGAACCAAGACTTAAATTTATGTTTTTTTATTGAATGATTAAATGAATAATCAGATATTTTTGTCTGGCACATTTTCCAACAGACTCACAGACAAAAAACAAACTTCCTTCAAAGAAAAAACCCATGTCCTGAACATTAAACGAATAATCTTATATTTTCTTATGGTTCTAATACTAATCAAATATCATCCCGGGGGCCAAGATAATTCATTCGGGGGCCGCATCTAGCCCCCGGGCCTTGACTTTAACGCCCATGAAATAGACCAATGTCATTAAATCCGGTTGGGTCCAGTTAAAACAGTCCACACACCTGCGGCTTATAATCAAGTGCGGCCAATATGTGGACACATTGATCTTCTTTTCAAGTGTCGCTGGTGCGGCTTATAGTCCAGAGAGTATGGTATTTATTTATGTATGGACACTTCTCCTCCAGGAATATTTTGTACAAACTCTGCATTTGTTTTGTTTCTGTCACGTCAAAAAGACAAAGCTGTGTTGAATTATTCTGCAACAAAACCGCCAAAATAAATACACAAAAAACAGTCTCAGAGTCAAGAGGAGGCAAATGTTGGAGAATAGTTCTTCTATGTTTCCCCTATAGCATAGTTAGCATGTTAGCCACATGCTAACAGAAAGAGACCCGAGAGAGAGACCAGAGAGAGACCAGAGAGAGAGACCAGAGAGAGACCAGAGAGAGAGACCAGAGAGAGAGACCAGAGAGAGACCAGAGAGAGAGACCAGAGAGAGACCAGAGAGAGAGACCAGAGAGACCAGAGAGAGACCAGAGAGAGACCAGGGAGAGACCAGAGAGAGACCAGAGAGAGACCAGAGAGAGACCAGAGAGAGACCAGAGAGAGAGACCAGAGAGAGACCAGAGAGAGACCAGAGAGAGACCAAAGAGAGACCAGAGAGAGAGACCAGAGAGACCAGAGAGAGACCAGAGAGAGACCAGAGAGAGAGACCAGAGAGAGACCAGAGAGAGACCAGAGAGAGACCAGAGAGAGAGACCAGAGAGAGACCAGAGAGAGACCAGAGAGAGACCAGAGAGAGAGACCAGAGAGAGACCAGAGAGAGACCAGAGAGAGACCAGAGAGAGAGACCAGAGAGAGAGACCAGAGAGAGAGACCAGAGAGAGACCAGAGAGAGAGACCAGAGAGAGACCAGAGAGAGACCAGAGAGAGAGACCAGAGAGAGACCAGAGAGAGACCAGAGAGAGACCAGAGAGAGACCAGAGAGAGAGACCAGAGAGAGAGACCAGAGAGAGACCAGAGAGAGAGACCAGAGAGAGACCAGAGAGAGACCAGAGAGAGAGACCAGAGAGAGACCAGAGAGAGACCAGAGAGAGACCAGAGAGAGACCAGAGAGACCAGAGAGAGACCAGAGAGAGACCAGAGAGACCAGAGAGACCAGAGAGAGACCAGAGAGACCAGAAAGAGACCAGAGAGAGACCAGAGAGACCAGAGAGACCAGAGAGAGACCAGAGAGAGACCAGAGAGAGACCAAAGAGAGACCAGAGAGAGACCAGAGAGAGAGACCAGAGAGAGACCAGAGAGGGACCAGAGAGAGACCAGAGAGAGACCAGAGAGAGACCAGAGCGACCAGAGAGAGACCAGAGAGGGACCAGAGAGAGACCAGAGCGACCAGAGAGAGACCAGAGAGAGAGACCAGAGAGAGACCAGAGAGAGACCAGAGAGAGACCAAAGAGAGACCAGAGAGAGACCAGAGAGAGAGACCAGAGAGAGACCAGAGAGAGACCAAAGAGAGACCAGAGAGAGACCAAAGAGAGACCAGAGAGAGACCAGAGAGAGAGACCAGAGAGAGACCAGAGAGAGAGACCAGAGAGAGACCAGAGAGAGAGACCAGAGAGAGACCAGAGAGACCAGAGAGAGACCAGAGAGAGAGAGACCAGAGAGAGACCAGAGAGAGACCAGAGAGACCAGAGAGAGAGACCAGAGAGAGACCAGAGAGACCAGAGAGAGACCAGAGAGAGAGACCAGAGAGAGACCAGAGAGACCAGAGAGAGACCAGAGAGAGAGACCAGAGAGAGACCAGAGAGAGACCAGAGAGAGAGACCAAAGAGAGACCAAAGAGAGACCAGAGAGAGACCAGAGAGAGAGACCAGAGAGAGACCAGAGAGAGACCAGAGAGAGACC